AGGAGTACCTCAGCAGTCTTCTTGTGCAGTCCATTGCCAGTCTCAGCTGGCCCAGATCATGGACATGTATGTGCATGTACCTACCTTGCTCAGTGAGTTCCTGGGTGATGAACCCGGGACCTTTGCCATGTAGGTCCAGTTGTATTACCACCTCACCATTGCCAGTACCTGCCATTTTATCTTGACTAAGATACATTAACTGTATTTCTTTCTTTAATTGGTAGCACAGTATAATGGAAAGAACATGAGATTTGAAGCTAGAAACACCTGGGTTCAAACACCTGGGTTCAAATCCTTGCATGGACTACATATTTTGGGGCAAGGCCCTTAAAACCCTCTGACTCTCCACTGTCTTTTAAATGGGGAAATTAATCCTTAGTTTGTAGAACGTTGTAAAGATTAGAGATGATATATGTAAAATGTTCAGTACAGAGCCTGACATATAGACCATTTTCAAATAACATCGAGCCATTTCTTGTCCATAGCAACATGAGAATAGAAAAATATACTAGTGCATTAGAATTGTGTACTTAGAGCTCAGTGACAGAGATTCCAGCTCTGTAGGGCCCTTGATTGACAAATTGGCATATAAAAATAGATTGTCACCTGACCCTGATTGTTTCTTAAATAAACTCAGAGTGTTTTTTTTTTTTTATTTAAAATTTTAAATTAAAAAAAAAGAAAAGAAAACCTGTCATTTATAAAAACCTGAAGTTCTTTTTTTGGAGAAATTTTTGCTATAGGGCACATGTGCTTGCTGGAGAGACAGAAAGCAAGAAATCACTCCCTGGAGGGACGGCCACATCTCAATTCCTTCTCCTGCTTTCTCCTCTCAGGACTTCGGGCATGCATGCACATGTGCCCGGTGTGAGTTTCAAGCCACTAGGTCCAGTACTCAAATCAAGGTGGCCCATGTAAGAGTCCAGCAACGTAACCACCACACGCCATCTGCTGGTTCCTGCAGTCCCTTTTATGTATATTTGTGAATAGTCTCATTCTTGGCTCTTTACTGGGTAGGATAGATAGATGTAATAACAGAAAGGCAGATTTGGGAGCCATATTTAAAGGTGTAACTATCAAAACCGCCTAGCAATGAATAACGTGTATGCCATGTTCCCTGAAAGCATTAATTTACTGCAAAAGTAGTAAAGATCTACGAGGGATGATGAAGAAATTAGCCTGCACTGGACAGAGGGAAGAATGGCATGCCCAGCGTGATTAAGGACATCTCTGATTCTCAGATTCTGATTCTCCACCCTGAAATTTCCTCTTTTACACCATTCACCACTGCCAACCACACACTTCAGACTTAGCTCTCATTTGCTGAAGAGAATCAAAGGGGAATCCCTCTATTAGCTATAGTGAGCTTATCTGTATTATATTAAGCAGATGAACCTGCATCCAATTTTAAGATGGGAAGGCAATAATCATTTCTTTATAATTAATTACACATCAGGTTCTTTATGTTAATTTATGTAACTCTAAGACTCTGGCAATTATTTATCCCTATTTTGTAGATAATAAAATAGGCTCAAATAGGTTAACTCCCTACAAGCAAATGCTGTTTCTATCACATCCTTCTAGCTCTTTCTTCTGCTTCCCCCTCTTTCTTCTTTTGCTGTTATGCAAATGCACTAAATATAATGGTGAGCGGCAGTTGTAGGAAATATTACATGCTGAGTACTTACTAAGGCAGAGAACACTTACAAAGCAAGGTCCCCTGCCCAGACCTCCATAAATAAGAAAATAACAGGCTTAGAAACTATTGCTAGCATACATAATACAGCATGTTTTATTTATGTATTTGGGGAAGAGAGGAGCAAAAGGGAAAAGCAGTCATTGTTACACACAGTCCCTGAAAGGCGGGTAACACTTCATGAGGAGGGCAGAAGCCTGGGACTAGAGTGAGTGAAAGGGTGAACAATGAGGAGGTCAGAAACAGCAAGTCTGAGGGGGAGACAGAGCTGGGGAGAGGCTGGGCCAGAAGAAAGGAAGAGGCTGAAAGGGAAGGCAGATGCTAGTCCGGCCCTCTAACTGTCACAGAATCTCATTAGGCTTTGTGCGTGGGACTCACAAGGAAAGCAGATCGTCGGGGGAGGGGGCATATGCTGAAATGCTCTACCATAATATACACTTGGGCATGTTTTTAGGGATCCTCCTATCACTGTGATTTTTTTTTTTTTAAGTTTGGAGGCAATGCATGGAGATTTTTCTAACGTCCAAAGAAATAAGCTACTGCAGATCGGGGTCGGGGGATCTCCTGGAATGAGGACCCAAGTTTACACTCCCGGCTGGGCGCTTCTGTCCAGCCCTCCTTAGCAATCGTGGACTAGCCAACACGGATGGAAGGATGACTGGGTTCCTTCCTCTCCCGTCGCCGGCCCGCGCGCACTCCATATTTGGTCACGCTCGCTCTTAAGTTTGGGGTTCTGCCAGGTAAGGGTCTCCGACACCCTATGCCAGCAGTCCACTCCGCGATCTCCACCGGCACCAGTGCAGAGGTGCAGAGCGCAGGCTGGGCTCCCGGTTCCGGGTCGGCGAGAAGGGCTGCGTCCCGGAAGCCTTTGTCTCCTCAAGTCGCCGACCGGCGTTCCCTCACCGTCCTGGCGTCTCTGCGCGCCCCAACAGCGAGCACCCAAACCGGCCGACAAAAACAGACCCTTTCCGGGGCTCCACAAGCCTCCGGTGTCACCTCACTACCCTCCACCTCCGGACCTAGAGCGCACAGAGCCGCACCCACCTCTGGCGCTGCAGA